AACCTGCTGGTCTGGAAATCCAGCAGTTCATCTAAACAAAAGGCACTTAGACATAGACAGATATACGTGTGTTTGCTATACCATATATCAGTAAGAGCAGATATAACCTCTCTCCTGACCTTAAGTTGTGTGTGCATGCCAGAGTGCTCTGGGAGGCACACAGAGTTTCCACAGACTACTAAGGATCAAACCTCTACCAACATGACATTGATTATTAAACTCTAAGCATATATGAGTAGATATTTCTAAGCATAAATGACAATCCACTATACAAACCTGACAGAACTCCCTCTCGCACCTACTCCATTACATTCTCCTCCTTAAAATAAAAATAAAAATAAAAAATTTAATGAAACCTTTCTCTTGAACAGATTTTGTGCTCTCCATTCAAACCATTGAAACTATTAAAAGTTATTTAGTCTTCTTTCGATTGCTTCATTTGAAGGTCACCACAGCATATTGTCTGCCTCCATCTAACCCTAGCCTTGGCATCCTCCTCTTTCACTCTCCTCTATCTGTTAACCTCTTGCATGTCCTCCTTCACTAGATTTGTGAATCTTTGTGGTTTTCTGGTTTTCCTCCTGCCTTGCCTACTCCAACATAGCCCCCACCCCTCCTCTGTGCATCCCAAACCACGTCAGCCTTGATTCTCTAGCTTTGTCTCCAAACTGCTCCACCTGAGCTGTCCCTCTGATGTACTCATTTCTAATTATGTCCATTCTAGTCAGTGAAGACCTTAACATCTTAAGCTCTGTCACCTCCAGCTCAGGCTTGTATCTTTTTGTCAGTGCCACTGTCTCCTAACCATACACCATGGTAGGTCTCACTACCATCTTGTAAACCGTCCCTTTCAGTCTTACTACGATTTTCTGTCACAAATCACTCCTGACACTCATCTTCACTGACGTCATCGTGCTTGCTGCCTTATGCTCACCATGCTTGTGTGCTGTTCATTGCTTTGGATGCTTTACTTCAGATATTGAACAAATGTTGCATGATGCAAGAAAAAGGTATATTCCTTATAATGACCTAGTTTTTAGTCTGTTTGAGCTAGCTTTTATAATGAAGTACTGTTAATAATAATATTTTTTAGCTTTTTCAACAGTATTTTGTTAGGATTGGGGGAGGCAATATCAATATTGATTTTGACTATTGAGCTTCACAAAATAAATGTTACTGTATTGTAAAATCAATATTGTGATACTTTGCTTGGTGATACAGTATCAATACAGAGACAGTAAATATTGATATTGATATGATGTTGCATCATATCAATACAATCTATTGATTGTTGCATCTACAAAAAAATCTATCCATAAACATGAAAAATGAAAAAACAGTGGCTGACTGGTTATGTATTGAATTATTTTACATTCTGTGACTTCTTGCAACTTCTTGTGACTAGATGGTTGCCCAAAGCTCAAGGGTGCTCACAACCCCTTATGATTGCAAGGAGGCAACCTTTGTGCAAACAGTCTCAGTCTGACGAGCAATGACTGCAATCACTTTCTTAGAGATTGTCAAATAATTACTATCTAATCGATAAAAACAGACAGACGTGCCAACATGTTGCCATCAGTCTGAATGAGCCTTTGTACAATAGAGTCAGACTGACCTGTCTTCATCTTACAGTGTTAGTATGCTTGATATGCTTGAGAGGTGATAAACTGCAACATGTATTATTACAACACTCGGGACATCACAGAATGTTAAAAAATATCAATAATATCATACTGAGAATCAAGTATTGTGATAATATGGAATCACGGGGTGTCTGGTGATTCCCACCTTTAATAGTTATACATAAATAAGAAATAAAATGTTTGCATATTTTTCAATTTGTTATAAACAACATAAAAAACTATAACAAGATACCCTTACTTTTACGGTGTAAGTGAAATCAGGATAAATCTATCTAGGTCACACGAGCTGGTTCAACCTGATGTCATTTATCCTAAAATAAGAACGATCCAATACTCCTTTTCTTCTGATGGCTGGAAATCCTCTATTCTCACTCGGGCCACTGCGCATGCTCTAAGCAAAGAGAGGCGGGCTAGGAGGAGGTGGGTCGACCCGCTGTAGTCGAGTGTTTGTGTGTCGGTGTGTGTGTTCGTCTCAACGTAGCACGAAACGTGTCTCCTCTCAGCAAAGACACACAAACGTGAGACGTGCTAGATAACGTTTTTGTTTTTTTTCTTGGTTTTGAAAGTTTTGTTTTTGCCGCCTTAAGATTGTTGCGATTTTATACTATGTATATTAAAACATTCCGCTTGTAAAACGTAATATTTATCCGCCAGGAGCAGCCGACTTCGTTTCTACTAAAGAGTGTCCGCTTCTCCTCCCCTCGATGAAGCGCTGCGATGCCCTCTGATTTTATATCCCTCCTTAGCTCGGATATCGACCTCAATTCCCCCAAATCTCTATACTCTAAAGGTAAGATTTATCTAAAGGAAGGTTACTGTGAGGTCGCTAATCCGTTTTGTCCTTGTCTAATGGGAACTAATATGATTGTCTTGATAGCTCATGTTAAGCTGCTAGCTAGCAATGGTTAGCCTCTTTTCTGCTAGTAGCAAGACTAGCTAGCATAGTTAGTCAGCTCGACTACCCTTGCTGGTTAGTTGTCCATGTCACATGCGTGGAAAAGCATGGTATGTTAGAATAGTAAAGTAAATATAACAACAATTATGTGTGTTTTTTGGTTACACTTGTCATGCAGATTGATGACTAGCATCATTTTAGTTGCCTACATGAGCTAACACAGCTTTGTGAGGTCGCTGCCTACCCACCACATTGTTCCGTGGTTTAAGGTACTTAAGTAGTGCTCGGGTTCTGCAGAGGTGTGTATTTGTGTGTGCGCATATCGCATGGATGGAAAAGTAGTGCATGGCTGTCCTGTGTTTTCTCCTTGTTTGGTTTTAGCGAGTGACAGTCCCTCTGTTGTTTTGGTTTGTTTGGTGGAATCGAGCCAGGGTATCCTCCTCACATTCTCTGGTTTCACTGAAAGAATGCAGTTATTGGCCCTTCAAAGCCTAGAGAGTGCTATTCTGCCTATCAGGATAAGGGGCCCTCTAGTGCCAAAATATATTTTGCCTCTAATATCGCTGCACACTTGTCAGCCAACTGTTATGTTATTATTAGGTGGGTGTTGCTGCATCTCTGGAGTGCAGAACCGTTAACTAATGTTGCATTTAGCTTGGTTAGAGCAGCACTTTGCCTGTAAGTCTGTCTTTTCACTTTTTAAACATCGCCTCAATTTAATGTGCAAAGCAACTGTCACTGAATATGCTTACTCTACTCAGGCAGCTACCATGCATTTGCTTGTTTATGAGGGAGGCTTGTATATAAACTATTGATCCTAAAGTGCAAATGTAACCTGAGACACAAGAATTTATGCATATTACTTTTTCTAAAAACAGTGGTGCTATTTCACCCCTTTGGGTTTTTCCCCTTACATTTTAATCACATTAACAAATATTATTCTTTCCTTTTTTATTTTTTTCAAATATTATTTGTACCCGACTGGGCCTTAACTTGCCTGCTGGTCCCACATCTGTCTGGCTGCTATGTATAGGGTGCTCATGAGCCAGCAGAAAGCTTTGCTCTGTGACCCTGAAATTCTCAGTTGAGACTGCCATATGGTCACACCGTATCACATGATGACTGTTTATTTATATCTCTGTAATTGGGTGTGCGCTCTCACGTTGGGGTCAAGGTAACAGACATGCTCATCAACGATCTATTGGGAGAGCTCATGTATGTCAGACGATGTGGGTGAGTAGAGACAACTGACCAAGCTGCCAGAATATATTGCATTATTTAGTGGGTTCTGTTTTTTTGTTTGTTTGTTTTGAGGAAAATGTGAAATCTCAGAAGTTACAAATAGAAATAGTAACGCAGGGTTTACTGAGAAGCAAGCAAGGTCCTACTGGAATCTGGACAGCTCAAGAACTTGTGCCTGATTTTATTACTGCGACAATACATCATAAACATATAACTAATGATCAAGATAGTGATTTTTGGCTATATTTACATAAAAATTATGCTTACTGGGAGAGAAACAAAGTCTCTTCCTCTTTCTCACAGCAGAGAGACTGTTGTTCCTGTGTGAGGAGAGCAAGCCCTCGAGCAAAACTGTAACGGTGTTTTGTTTTTTGTTTCTTTTCCCCCCTTTTGGCTGATTTGAAAAACAATCTGCTAGAGGGAAATGAAAAGTGGCTTCAACCTCGCAAAAAATGAGTTAGCAACAGCAAGGTGAATTGAAACGTGATGAACAGACAGACAAACTGGGATGCTATTTCCAAATCCAAGTGCTGAAATCCCAAAATTGAAAACCAAATACCTACCCAACAGATAGAGATTAGGGCTGCCCAGTTAATCGATTAATCATGAACATCCTTTGACCCCCTACAGTTAAATAAACGTGTTCAAGGAATATTAAAAATGTTTGCTTTCCCACACAGTGCAGTGCATTAAAGCCACTGAACTTTTATGGACTACCTGGATGACTAACAGTGCATTAGAAGACAGCCAATGACTGAAATTAAATGTCTAGCACAGCGAAATGTGTAGAGCTTGTCCCCCGAAGTGGAGCATGAGTCGTTGTTTGGAAATGACTCGAATTTAGTCGAAATGACGTAATCCTAGAAGAAATTATATGCAAAGAGTGCTGTAGAGTTGTGTCTGCATTGCAAAGCATTACAACCTGGTGATTGAGCCGCATGAAAACACACCACAGACTGGCGTATAATGAATGCACGAAGGATGAGAAAAACGGTGCAGTGGTTGCTAACAAGATCATCCAACACCAACTCAGACGCTCATAAAAATGCACCTGTACCTTCCTAAAAATTACTTACTTACATATAGAGCTGGGCGATATGAGATTTTTTCATATCACGATATGTTTTTTTCATTTCAGGCGATAACGATATCTATCACGATATAAGCCAAATAACTATATTTGTAAGATTTAAATGTGCCGTTGCTCACAAGTAAAATGTGAAATTATCAGCAGCTTGTTTTTAAAAATTTATTTCCCATAATAAGTTCAACAGGGTAGATGTACTTAAGGAACATGAGACTTTTTCAGATAAATAAAGGCAAATATTGCAAACTACACAAAAGGCAGCCGCTAAAGCGTTTAAGTTTCAAAATAGAACAAACGAAACAGACTAAATTGTCAATTCCACTTAGAAACAAAATATTAATTCTAAAAATAAATCTTAGTTTATTTTACAGAAGAACAGACAAAACTGACTAACTTTTGTCAATATCAAATAAACTGAGAACTAAAAGGAAATTCTCAATCTCTCCTTGTTGTATAGCTTAGCTTTTCAAACAGTTTTAACAGTTACTTTAGTCTGACAAAAGCCGAATGACGAATTAGCGCTTCCAGTCAGAGACTGAGGCTACGTCCACACGTACACGGGCATTTTTGAAAACGGAGATTTTCCGTTTTCGTTTTAAAAAATAATCCCGTCCACACATAAAGGCAGAAATGAAGGAAAACGCTGCTATGAACATGCCAAAGCAGCAGGTGGCGCTAGATTCCTAACCGTGCTGAAATGTTGGCCAATCAGAAGTCTAGAAGCCTCGGTGGGAAAAAGTAAACAAAGCTGCGGCATAGAAGCAGAACCGAGTCGTATGTGTGGACGGACAGTAACTGTGTGTATGTGTAAGCATTTAAACACTGCAGAGAGTAGAATTAACAGTAACAGTATTGTAGAAATTCATTTCACCGAAACAATAACGTGGCGCACAGTGTGACGCTTGCACCAGTTTATTGTATTTCCAGACTTGCTTTCGGCACATTTACAGTGCACGCTACTCTGATTTTTGTCAGACTTGAAATAGCCGAAATACCTTCACACTACGGAACTTCTATGGCTCTTCCGTTCGACAATCTCTCCGGCATTGGAACCATCATCTGTTTTCTCTTCAGTCACGCTCGGTTGATTTTTCTAGTCGGCACACTCATTTCCTCCATTATGCGCTGGCTCCATTACCCGCTGGCTGCTTCCCAAACAAACACACATGCGGCTTGGCACTTGTGCTGTACGTAACAAGTCACGCGACGTGACGCTGCGGCTGTGATTGGTTCGGCTCTGCGCTACTGAATTTGGATTGGCTGACCTTTAAAAAAAAAAAAAAAAAAGGACAAGAGCGGCGAGGTCTATCGCGATAGCTTAATTTCTCTATCGAGTAAAAGTTATATCGCGATACATATCGTTATCGTTCTATCGCCCAGCTCTACTTACATACTCGATCATGTCTGTTTGGCCAAAGATAAGTGTCCAGTAATCACAGGACATAAAGAGAGGTCCAGAAAAATTGTCAACATACTTAACAAAAGTTTTGTTCATACCCATCATGCATGTACAGTGAATTGAGTATTTTGCTTTTAGGAAATCCAGTTAGGCTAGGTGAACAACAATTCACTGCAAAGATGTTTTAATTCACAGGAAAGTAGCACAATGTTTAAGTGAAAACACTAATTGAATTGGGTATTGGAGAATGTGTAATTCTACTACAATCGTTACTAACCAATGGTAAAAGCAATAGATATTCTAGTAAGTGGTTGTGATTGGTGTGGGTGGGATATTGGTTTTCTCCTCATTGTTACCTTATGTCAGGACACAGATTTTACGTTACTCTCATTACTGGGATTAAAAAAAAAAAAGAAGCATGTTTTGTTTGTAGCATATACACAAGGGAGATTTACTTCCACAACACATTTCTCCCACAGGTTACATACAGGATACATTAACCACTTGTCCCTGGCTGCCTTTGCTTTGTGTAATATGTTTACACTCAGTACAGACATTCACTTGTTTCTTTTTAAAGAAAGCAGGCCCTTCTCCCATTGTTATGTCTCTCAGGTATAAATGTAGGCCAATAGTAAACTCTCCCTTGCTTTAATGTTAATAGCCCTGCCTTCCACTTTATTGACTGCAGTCTTGTGGGTAATTTTTGGCCGTCCTTTAAAGGTAAAGCATGGGCTGACTTCACTACAGTCTAAAGACAGCAGTACTTTCCAGTGAAACCTTTTGAAATATTTAATTTATTACAAGACACTCAATGAAACTATGATTACTCGAAAGTAACGATGCCGTTAAGTGTTGGACAACAAAAAAGCTTGCAACAGCCTATAGCAATGGGACAACAGTGTGCAAGTGCAGCTCTTGCTACTTACTCTGGCTATGTTGAATGAAGGCACAGAATCCAATTCAGTGTTATTCACGTGCCACAATATATGATGTATCCTGGTGACTAAGTAAGATGGATGTCAGTTAACTTGTTACTAAAGTTACAAGTAATAACTTTAGTAACAAGTTTCATCTGCTTCTTTCATCTGTGTAAAAGTGGTTTACATTAGGATACATTAGCTAAATGATGGCTTCCAAGAAAAAAAGTCTCAGGGGTGGACGGCGTAT